ATATATAAGACTTATAAACCTATGACCTCAGTGCTAAGAATGTAAGGCAGAAAGATTCCCCATAAATTAAAGCCAGCATAGTCTAATCAGTAAAACTCTGTCTCAAAAATGATCAATCAAAATGAAACCAACTGAAGGGGATACAGTCAACAGAGTTAGTTATCACAAACAACTATAAAAATGAGAATATGCACAAACCCCAGCACCCAGAGACATGAAATATAAAATTAGACATCATTCTTGTCACACTTTGATCTAAGATTTAATGAGGAGCAACATTTATTTCCAATAAATATATACCAGACCCTCATAACTTATTCGTAATAAGCTGGCAAATAGTTTAAAATTTTTATCTATTAGAAGTTTTTAAGCCACTAAAGATGGCTCAGGCTTAAAATCACTGACTCGCAATGGGCCTGTAACTCAGGTTCCAGGGAGACCCAGTGTCCTCTTCTGACTTTCTCTGGTACCAAGCCGGTAAGTTGCACACTTACATACATGCATACAAACACCTAAATCCGTAAAATAAAAATAAATTTTTGTTGTTGTTTTTGAAACAGAGTTTCTCTGTATAGCTTTGAAGCCTGTCCTGGAACTTGCTCAATAGACCAGGCTAGCTTTGAACTCACAGGAATCCACCTGCCTCTGCCACCCTTGTGATTAAAGGCATGAGCCACCACTGCCCAGCTAACTTTTTAAACTAACTTATTAGTGTTCATAAAAATTTTCAACAGGTACGCTATGCTTGTAGGGATGCAAAGTGAAAGAACACCTGTAGCAGGGCGTGATGTTGTAGCATTCTTTTAAATACTTTAAATCAAATATGAACCCGATGTCAGTTGAAATCTTTGTGTTTTGGGGAAAAATATCAATGATAAAAGTACTGTTTAATAAGAAAGAATATAGAATGAATTTTAACACTATCCTCTTCTGGGGGAGGGTATGGTATCTGAATCTAGGGTCTCATACATGCTAGAGAAACACTCCACTCCTGATGTAACAAAGTAACTTATTCCACTGTGGATGAGCAGATGCTGCTTAATTAATGCTCTGTAACAACTCCAAAATTCCCAAGAATTACAACAATCAGCACTAATTTCCTGCTCATGCAGCAGGTTGTCTGTAAAACACCTCTGCTTCAAATCCAGATCACCTTTACACATCCAGGGCCCACTTTGAATGGGAGAAGTCGTTATTGGGGCAAGTCTTCTCACAGAAATAGTAGTTCAAGAGAACTGGAGGAAATTTGCCATACCTCTTAAAGCTCATTTCAGAAATGGCCTACTGTTACTTCCATCTCAGTACATCATATAACCAAGTCCAAAGTAGGAATTTTTATCTCAAGAGAAAAGCTGTGGGAATATTTATTTGTAGAGCAATAATTCTATTTACAATAAATTCTGTGGGAAATTTCCAGAACAAGTTCACTGTGTTCACTATGACCATGCAAACACAGTAAGATGTTGAAGTAACTCATTGCTATCAAATTCTCACATGACAAAACGCAAACAGGAACAGTAAATATGCCAATGACAGAATCAGGATGCAGAAACTTCTCAAAGTACTGGCGTAATGGACTAAAATTAATACTAAGCTTTAGTGGAAACTCATAGGAGTAAACGTCCTGCTACAGCTTCAGTATAAAACAAGGTGAGTCACTTTAGCAAGACAGGTGAGAGTCACAGTGGTTTCAGGTTAACCTCAGTACCACTAATGGCATAACATGCCTGATAATGTAACACCATATTGAATTAACAGTAATAACATAGCTGAGTGTCTAGGCTACATGAAAAACACAGTAAAAACTCGAAAGAAAGAAAAAATAACATGAAGAGTTTGAGGCAATCACACCCAAAGAATACACTGGCTCTAAGGGAATAATCACTGGAAACACAATCTGCGAACAGTTTTAAACCAGGTTTCAGAGGAGAGGGCTGAATAAACTCTTGATTTGGGGACGGGAAGACTAGGAATATGATGTAGATTCGTAGAAAGAAGAAACAAAGATAAAGTCTTCAAATTCCCTAAAATGCCTTCAGAGTTGCTGAAATAATAAATTAATTGTGATAAAAGTTAGCAGACCTCTATTCAGCTGTAGTAACTTTTCAGCAAAGGACTAAACAATTAAGATGAGGGTCTCTGTGGCAACTACTCACTTAAAAAAAAACCATTGATAACATGTAAGCAAGTGGGTGTGGCTGGTATACAACAAACTTTACTCACAAAAGCAGGTGTCATGCCAGACAGCAATAGCTTGTCAAAATCTTTTCTATGTTGAAAAAAGCAAACAGAGTTGGATTATATCACCTTCAGACCATCTCTCGCTCCAAAGATCCATAAAAGTAACTAAAGCAATTCAGCAATACACAAAATAGGTGTGGAAATGACACAGTAAGGTGGATGGGTTAGAGAATATGCAGATATATATGCATATTTATAAACAATACAACAGTGCTTAAAAAACAGAAATAGGAATGCAAGTATTTAGTATAATGTTGAACATGACAGACACTAACTTTAATCACTGCCCTTAAACAAGCCTTTCCAAATATATATGAGAACATAATGGGAACATCTTCAAATTGCTTTTTTAAAGCCCTCTATATTTCTTATTATATCTTCATACACAGATATGTGGGAGGATCAATACAACCAACTCCAAGCAAAGCAAAAAGAAAGCTATGATTTAGTTTCACCAAAGGTGAGAAACTTCCATATAACAAATCAGTCAAAACATTGATTCCTTTTGCTACCACATACAAAGCTTACATCAAGACAAAGAGTCTCAAAACCGGTACTTTTTGTTGTTATTTTGTTTTTGTTTTTTTTTTGTTTTTTCAAGACAGGGTTTCTCTATGTTGCCCTGGCTGCCTGGAACTTGCTCTGTAGACCAGGCTGACCTCAAACTCACAAAAATCTGCCTGTCTCTGCCTCCTGAGTGTTGGAATTAAGAAATGCTTCACCACCATCCAGTTCAAACTGATACTTTTCTATAACAGATGAGCATAGAAATTGAAAGGCATGTAGAAACTTTACAGCAATCTAAAATTCATTAGAGGGGCTGCAGAGATAGATCAGCGGTGAAGAGCACTGACTGCTCTTCTAGAGGACCGGGATTCAATACCCACTACCCACATGACAGCTCACAACTATCTGTAACTCCAGTTCCAGGGGATCTGACACCTTCACACCAATGCATGTAAAAGAAATTTAAATAAATTTTTTAAATGTTTAATAAGTAAATAAATAAATTTGATTAGTTTGTCAACTACAGATAGTCAAAATATAAATCAATCTAAAAGATATAATCATTCATAATTTGTTATAATCATCTAAATTTTAATCAAATATGTAACTTACAATTTAATTTTTCAATTGAGTAAGCAATTTTAAATTTTAATGTCTAACTTATACAAAGCAAAAACCTTATCTGGTCATCCTTGGGAAGGAATGATACACCTTCACCTTCTCTGAGGCAGCAAGAAAAAAGCAAACGTGACAGGGGAACTGTTTTGAAGACAGAAAAACCAAAAGCCATACTCTTTTACAAATAAAGTGTGATCAGTGAGGGCTGTTAGAACCATATTGTGCTATTTGCAGAGATGCTCCAACTATGAAACAATAGTAGCATTTATGTAGAAAATACTTAGGAGTTAAAAACAGAAAAAAATTAAGTTAAAAACTACCATATTACCAAAACAATAGAAGCAGATATTTGGTGCTTCACATATAAATATTAGAGTTTCCATACTTCTTATATAGAATCTCTTTAGGATACCACTATTTTTAAAACACACACTTCACTTGTATTAGAGAAAAAAAAACACTAACATTGGTTATATGAATATGCTGAGTGAATATGCAACCAAATTTTCAACATTATCAGTTTAAAAAACTCAAGAACTGATCAATGGCACCTGAGACCAATCCATAGAACTAAGAAATCTCAAAGTTTTTAGAAAAACTTAAAACACAATGATAATATAACAATCCATTTAGTACTGCCACCAAACATAACTCCGAACTGTGTAAGATAATGAAGTATTAGTCGACAGTGGTGGTTTGGAGTTTAAGTTCTGTATAGCAGTGTACGCTGATAGTATAGCTGGAACCAAAAGGATCAGGAGCTTGAGGACAGTCTAGGTAGTGAGACCTTAACAGCAGAGGTTGGGGAAGAGCCTATGTACTATGTGTCTGTTTAAAGATTATTTCTAGCCTTACCTTACAAATTTGGCAGAAAATTTTCAATATTTTTCTCATCAAAAGAATATCCATATATAAAAAGTTTATCCATATATAAGTAAATCACATACTCACATGTATATGTGATCTACTTTTTTAACTGAGATAATTTATTCCCATGTTCATTAATGTGTTAGAAGTGGTTACTAATAAAAGATTAATACAGGACTGAAGGAATGGTTCAGTGGTTAAGAGCACTGGCTGTTTTCCTAGAGGACCTGGGTTCAAATCCCAGCACCCACATGGCAGCTCACAAGTGTCTGTAACTCCAGTTCTAGGAGATCCATGGCACCAGGCATGCATATGGTATACACACACACACACACACACACAATACGAAATATTCATATACATAAAATAAAATAATTTTTTAAAAAAGATTAGCAGTTGGAGAGACAAGCTCAGAGGTTAAGAGCACTGGCTGCTCTTTCAAAGGTCCTGAGTTCAATTCCCAGCAACCACATGGTAGCTTACAACTATCTGTAGCGGGATCTGCTGCCCTCTTCTGGCATAAACATGCAGAGGAAAATAGAGCACTTGTATACACAAAATAAATCTTTAAAAAAGATTAGCACTAATTCTTAAAACAACTGCCTCATTTGGGGAAATAAAAAGCTTAGTAATTAACTTCTTGAGCTTGCATTATTTTGCCCCCTCGCTCCAGTACTGGGGATTATAGCCAATGTCTTATGTATACTAGGCAAGCATTTATTCAACTACTGAAGTTAAATTCATATCCCTCCAAAAATATGATTTTTAGAGGAAGGCACAAATGAAATCCCCACTACCACAAATTACGAAGTCTCTCTCGTGTGAGGAACAGTAGAGGTCAGCACACCTGGAATGCAGCAGATGAACCTTACCCTGGGACAATCACGTTTTTGACCACGATTGTCTCCCCTGACAAGGAAGTCCTTAACATGCCTTTTTTTGTTTTGTTGTTTGTTTTCAGAGACAGGATTTCTCTGTGTAACAGTTCTGGCTGTACTGAAACTCGTTTGTAAAGCAGGCTGGCCTTGAACTTACTGGGATCCGCTTGCCTCTGCCTCCTAAGTGCTGGAATTAAAGGTATGTGCCAAAACTGAAAGGCTTTCAAAATGTTTTTTGGGGGGTTGTTTGTTTTTGCTTTTGTTTATACAGGGTTTCTCTGTAGCTTTAGAGCCTGTTCTGGAGCTAGCTCTTGTAGACCAGACTGGCCTCGAACTCACAGAGATCCTCCTGTCTCTGCCTCCCAAGTGCTGGGATTAAAGGCGTGTGCCACTGCCTGGCTAAAAATTAAACATTTTAAGCACATAGTAGATCTTTTAACGCAATTTACCCAATAATTCACCTTACTAGGTTTTCCAAAGTATCCACTTACAAATTAGTAAGAGATTCCTTCTAACAAACAGCTGCAATACACACAGAGTAGCAAATTACAGCCTTTGATTATTTTACTAAATCAAATTTGGAGCACAGTAATATCCATTTGTTTCCCAACTGTCTATGGCTACTTTCATTCTCCATTAGCAGGGATGGTTAATTTGGTAGAGACCACATGGCTTTCAAAGTATGAAATATTTACTATTTGGTCCTTTGGGGGCAGAGCGGGGAAGGCCAAACTCTGCTGTCAATGACTAAACATAACCCACTGGGATGACTTCTCACTTTTTTCCTTCCTCCAATTATTCACTGAAGTTAAGGCAGGTAATTAAACACCTGATCTCACACTGAAGATGAGAAAAAGTCAAACTTGGCTGCCTGAGCAGCCTTGTTTTTCTACTTCGTCTTGAGAAACCAAGGGGAACCTTTCCTCAGGTTTCAGTTCCTCAGATCTTTTTGTTTAGTTGTTTTGTTTGAGACAAGAACTCACTATGTAACCTTGGCTAATTAGGAACATGCTATATATAGATCCAGGTTGGCATCAAACTCAGAGAATTCTGCAATTAAAGGCATGCTCCACTATGGCCATATATTGCTGAGATCTTAATTAAGATATGAAAACAGAATTTTCCAAAGCTCTAAACAAAAACCCTGGAGTCCTCAAAGTGGTCAAACGCTATATTGAATAGCTCAGCAATGGCATATTCTTGTCCGGCCCCACATCTACAGAGCCTTGCTTCAGACAGTGAAAGGCCTGAAATACATGCTTAGGGTAGTAAGTGGCAGAATCACATGCAGAAAACCTCTACCCCTGTCTCAACAACTGTGACTTCCAAAGCAACCACATCTGGAAACAAATTCAGTTGCTACCCTGTAGTCTGGGCCATGCCCTGGCTTCACTGTCACTTATTTCCACCTCAACAAAAGCACAGTTGTCATAAACACATAAACTGTGTGTTCTTCATTACTTTTCAGCATGTGTAAGGCCCTAGGTTCAGAATTCAGTATCATAAAATAGAGCCCAGCAGTGCATGCCTGTAATCCCAGCATCTGGAAGAAAGACAGGAGAACCCATAGTTCAAAGAGCATATAGTGCAATTGTTGTGTGTATTTTCATTGTGTTCCAATAAGTAAGTTTGCTTGGAGTCAGAGGGCGGAGCCAGCCACTAGCTGACCATAGAGGTTTAGAGGACTGGAGACAGAGGTCAGGAAGTGGTAAGGCAGGGCTGAGACGGAATCTTGGCCCTTTTAGTTATAGAAACCAAAGAGGTAGGAAGGGACTGTGGCTGCTCCTCTGCTTCTCTGATTTTCAAGTTTTTACCCCGACATCTGATTCCTGGTTTTTCTGATTAAGATTAATTAGACTAATGCTTAGCGAATGAGGTCAGCACTGGCTCTATATGAGAACTTGTCTTTAAAGAAAAACCTCACATGGGGCTCACATGGTATGTCTCCTGGTATCCTAAAATCTTTATTTTTCTATTTCTGATTCTAAAAGAATCAAAATAAGGTTTAATACAGACAAAGGAATTACCACTAAATCAGGAAGAAACAAAAGAATATACACAAAAATGGTAAAGAGATGGCCCAGTGCTTAGAAGCACCTGTTGCTTTTACAGAGGACCTAAGTTTGGTTTCCAGTACCCACATGGTGGCTCACAACCATTCTCAACTCCAGTTCCAGGGATCTGATGCCCTCTTTTAACCTCTAAAGAGACCAAGGTGAACACAAGGTGAACATACCTACATGCAGGCAAAACATACACACACTTATAATGAAAGAAATAAATCTAAAAATAAAATCACACAAAAGGTGCTTCAACTATAGAAGTTCATGTGTGCACAGCAGAAAAAGAAACCTTGATGTGTCTTTTGCCTACTATTCATTCAGCACTTGTTTTTGTCTCTATTGTCTGAGACAGGATCTCAGACTCATAGCCCAAACTGACCTCAAACTTGTGGTACTCCTACTGCCTCAGCCTGCTAAGAGCTCAGCCTGCTAAGAGATTACATGTATGAACCACCACAGCATCTTTATTCAACAGTTTTTTAAATGGTACCTTACACTTATATTTATATTAAGAAGCAATAATCAGCTGGGTGTACAATCTAGCACTCTAGAAGTTAAAGATTATAGTGTTCTATGAAGTCAGTTTGGGCTACAGAGTAAGTTCAATGCCAACCAGGGCTTCATGCAAGATTCTGTCTCACAAAATCATAAATAAAATAACCACTTAGAAAAAGAGCAGAGTAATGAGGCGGTCAGGAAGGTCTACCCTGGTGAAGACATCAGATCACGTGGATCACTTCAGCTCCTCCCTAACCTCAAGCCTCTGAATAAAACTGCTTGACTCCCCCACAAAAAAAAAATAAATAAATAAAAGCATCAGTACAGAAGATACTGTTGTATTGATATACTTTGGATTTTATTTGCTACTTATAACCTATTCTTAGTATATTAAATTCACCAATGGCTATTTAATTTAACTATTTTAAAATAAAATTCTTTTTGTGAAATAGAATGCCCAGAGTAGGTCATTACAGTCATTTATATATTACAAACGCAAAACTTAGAAAATGGAAGGATATCCTGCTATTCTGGGAACAGTCCCACACTGTTTAACACCTCTTAAATAATTTCCTATGATTTTTTAAAATTCTTTTACAGTATACATAGTGAATACAAATTCTTAAAAGATATTGACAAATATAAGCTGTAATTTGTTTTCAAATTTTCAGCTTTAAAACAACAGTGCTAGAATATTTTGAGCACTTATATCACAGAAGTGATGCATCAACAGGTACATAGGTTCTGTCCTTCATAAACTGTGGCCTGCAAGAGAAAAATGATCCCTCCCCAGGACGAGTTTCTACCTTAGCTGAAGTCTTCCAAGTACTTTCAAAACAAGGAATACTTCTGATGTCTAAAGATACAGAGGAATTTGCGAACAAAAACAAAACTTCAGAAATCATGTCCTTAAGTACTAAAAACTGTGTTAACTTTAAACCACAAAATACTCAAGAAAGCTATTGAAATGATTTTAAAACACATTTTATATTTTGTTTGCTTATTTAAGTGATGAGGTGTACCCCAGGGCCTCACATAGGCTAAGTATGCTAACCACTGAGCTACATCCTTAGCCAAGTACCTTTAATCCCCTTTTTAAAGAAATAATTTTCATTCTTTTAGTATATTAGTGTTTTGCCTGCATGTACGTGCCTGGTGCCTGTGGAAGCCAGAGACACGTCAGATCTCCTGTAACTAGAGTCATTGACTGTTGTAAGCCACCAAGTGACTGCTGGGAATTGAACCAGGGTCTTCTGAAAGAACAGCAAGTGCTCTGAACCACTGGGCCATCTCTCAGATCCAATCATTTAATTTATTTTTTGAAAAATTATTTTATGTATGCATACATTCATGTGTCACATGGGGCATATGTGGAGATCAGAGTTCTCTCCTCCTGGGATGTGTATCCCAGAGATCAAAGAGCTTATCAGGCAGCAGGTACCTTTACTAGCTGAGCCATCCCTCCCATTCCATAGCAAAGCACCTCTAAATAAAAAGAAAAAAAAAGCCCAACCAAGAGAAAAGAAAAAATCTAATTAATGAGAAGGTATAGTAATAGAACTAGCCCTGGTTGATTCAGTTTAAAATTAAAATAAAGCATTCAAAGAGAAAAATGAAAGCATCAGAACACCAAATGAATGAACTGAAAAGAGGGGTCATGCACAGTGGTGTGGGTCTCTAGTTCCAACTACTTCAGAGGCTGACAGATGAGAATTCCTTGAGTTCAGGGATCCACAGCCAGCCTGTGCAGCACAGCTAAACAGACGTGGGCAAGGAGCATGCCTGAGCTATTAAAAAATGTCCAGATCTCCAAAATTTAGTTTTAAATGTACCAAAATGAAGAGGAATTAATTGATGGTAGAAGGATCAATAAATAATTAAACATGAAATAGAACAAGAATATTAAATGTCAGGGTTTGGATAGAAGGTATTTAAACATTAATTGTGATTGTAATATTCTTTTAACTTTGCTAAATAGAAATATTCAAAAGACAACAAAGTATATTCACACTTTACCTCCTACAATATATCAGCTGAAGAACAGAAAATAAAATATTTGGATACATAAAAAATATTGAGAATATGCCAAATTTAATTCAGAAAAAATTCAAATGCTCCAAATTACTAATACAGAGATATGAAGCAGTCATCAACAGCAAAGATTAATAGAAAATAAAACAAAGGGAAAAAAACCAAGTTATTCTGGGGGTGGAGGTATTTTGAAAGCAAAGCCCCAGTTACCTAGAACCCTGGACACAGATTGAAAACCTACCTAGTTGCAATGATGCACAATTGTAATTCCATCACTCAAGGGGCCAAGGCATGAGAATCCCGAGTTCAAGGTCCACCAGAGATAAAAGTAAAACTTGTCTCAATAAATAAATAAACAAACAGATAAATAAATTTCAAACTTCAAACCTGCTTTTAAAAAATTCTCAGTCATTCCTGCTACTGTTTTCAGGGTGGTTCTAATGTCACTCCTCCA